TGCAAGATGGCTCCTCATATAAAACCAGCCGCCTGGCTTCTCTTTTGTGATCAACAAAATTACTTTTCCCCGTTTATTCGATTAAAATACCGTTTTCGGGGAAGTGCTGAGGGCTAAACCGATCTGTACGCTGGCGTAGGTGTTACTCGGCGTCCTCGGGCGCTGTGGGAAATATTTAATAAACGAGCAGACCGATTTTGAGGCAGTGCGCGAGAGATCGGGCCTGTCCGCGCACGCGAACCTGAACCGAACCCCGCGCCCGAATCCAAACCCGAGCAGCTCATATGGCTGTTTCAAGGTGAGTCTGTGGATAAAGGTTGATTTGTCAAAGGCAAATGTGTCTCCACAGTTGCATTTTCTAACTCTTAATAACTTGCTTTTGTTATATACATTACAGGTTAAATGTATGTCAGTCGAGCTCTTTCTAACCGTCAGTGTCAAGTAACGTAATGTTATGCGTAACGTTAATTCCTCACAACCGAAGGCTGCAGAAGCAGTATAACCTCCAACAAATTGACGTGTCAAATTCTGTTATCTCATGCAGAATATCGTATATTAGCGGTGTTTTGTGCGATGTTGGATGTGCGTTATGAACCCAACAGTTTGTGGTCTGCCATAATGATTCTACTTTATCCTGTGGGAAGTCTCCGGTTAATGTGTAAATCCGCCGGGTGATTAGTGGACTAACCCCACGCAGTATCATCCCTCTCCGGGTTGGGCACTGTCCGTAAAGACAGTTTTAACATCCAGACTGACTGAAGGCAGCCCTCATATCTCCTAATCTCTCTCTTCAGTTGATGCAGTCGATTAATGTGGCGTTATGTAACGCGTATGACAGGATTTTGTGAGGGAAGCTGCTAGTAGATGTCTGTTTTTACACTTAAAAATTGTTTTTTAGTAATTAAAATGTAGGCAAAGAACTAAATTAATATGAGACCCTCACGGAAAGCATCTGTTTTTCATAAGTCGGGTCGCCCCCTTATGGGCGACGCCACGTTGATCACGTGTCCAGCAATTAGTTGTAATAAATGATTAGTAAACAAATGTAATGCATCCAGACCATTAGATAAATATGCGTCCAATGCCACTGGTGCTATTAGGAGGGAAAAAACAGCTAAATGTAAACAGAAGCTTTATTTTGCATAGAGAGAATTTTTAGCCATAATAAAACTTTCTACTTTTTCACGAGATTTTGGAAAGCGAATTTCACTACCCACCTAAATTAGTTTGGTGGTCTCTGATCTGAAATTGCTCAAATTCAAGTCAGTCTTATTTTTACACCGCTTTTAACTATACGCATTGTTTCAAAATAGCTGTACAGAAAATCATGACGCCAATGATGTCTTCTGTTTGTATATCTTCCAGATGTAGCTATATCTGTGAATGTTTGTATACTCGTGCAAATGAATACATAATACTGTATGAATGCAGATAAAGTTGGGTGTACTGTATATCCAACTTTACATACATATCGCTTGGTGATAGTGTAGTTTACATTTTGTGACTATATAAACAAACAAGCAGTTTTATTTGCTAATTAGCACATTGCTTTGTGACTGTACTGCATGGGAAAGCTTCAGGTTTGCTTATTTATTAGTATTTGGAGTATTTGTTAAATTATGAATTTGTTTTTAAAAAAGACTGTCATATCATGATTCATGACCCTTGCAGCGTGTGAAGAAATTTTCCATCCTCAAAGTCTAGTGTGATTGTGGCTTCAGTGATGATTTTATAACATTGTACAATTGTATTGCCAGACAGGTCTTCGTTGTGTTAATTATAACATCCTAGGGATGCACCGATACTGGTATGAACAGTGAACGTAACAAAAACTTGTAAAATACATTTTAATGTGTATAATAAAGGATATACAGTCAAACCAAAAATTCAGAGACCAGATATAATTTTTAATATTTTTTTTTTACTAGTGGGTGTAGGACACTATAGTTCATTTATGCAAGTGAGGATAGCAAAATAAGGTAAACTGTGACAAATCATACCCAACAATTCTTCATACAGTAGACTACCAGTAAAATTGATAAAAATTTGAAACCAAAAATTATTCAGACCGAGTCGGGGGGGAGACTGAAGTTGAGGTTTTCATGAAGCTGGATGACAGCATGCCCAGGAGATTACAGGCTGTCATTAAGGCTAAGAGTTGCCCGACTAAGTATTGATAGTTGTGTAAATACTGTCATACTAACAGCTGTCTGAATAATTTTTGGTTGATTGTAATCCATTACATACCTTTCTATCAAAGTTATCTAACATTATCAAGCTGAATTTGTTCTGACACAATTTAACTTAACTTAAGTTCTTGTTATATTTTATTACCATTTTCTAAACTATAGCGAATAAACTGTGATAATGTGAGAAATGTTGAAGGTGTCTGAATAAATTTTGGTTTGACTATCTATTTGATAAATGAAGTTTACCAACTAACATTATACATACTCTTTTGGTTTCTGTACCCAATATTTAAAAAGTTTACAAATGCAATAAAAAATATCGGTAATCGGTATCGGCAAGTACCAAAAATAAAAGTATCGGTATCGGGCGAGTACTGGAAAAAGTGGTATCGGTGCATCCATATAACATCCTGTCTCATTGTCTCCAGGTTGGAACGGCTGTTTATCTTACTGGATACAGGTTCGACTCCTGTTACCCGTAAAGCAGCTGCTCAGCAGTTGGGAGATGTTGTTAAGCTTCACCCACATGAGCTTAATAACTTGCTATCAAAGGTGAGTGTTCGGACTAGTAGAATATCTGATTTTTATTTTCTTTTTGACATATCAGACTCATCTAGTCGTTTGTAGTCTGAACAGCAAAACACACATTAAAGAACAATGTTATTGCCTTTTTGTACTAGTAGCACCTGTTTGTATTTGTACAGGAACAATGTCTTTCATCGCATGCAGCATTCCAGAATGCATGCTTGCCATCTGTTATTTACAATAGGGATGCACGATATTGGATTTTTGCCGATATTTTTCAACTCATTTTGACCTATAGAGAATGAGGAGTTACGTCACAATCTTTTCACTCCACATTGCATTTCGGGAAGGTGCCGCCATATTAGCAGGATACGCTATCCGTTCCCATGGTTACTTCTCATTCTCTATAAGGATAAATGCTTATCTTTTGTTTTGTCTTTGCCTTTAAGTTAAACAACCATTCATTCTTCATTGTATCGTTTGCAGGGAAGAGAAGCTATTTTATCGCACTGCATGATATGCACTGCATTTCTCTCTTAGGTTTTGTAGAATTTGGTTTACAGTGTTTAATGTTACCCGATTAGCGTGAAAACCGTGTCGCCCGCTGGACGCTTGCTGCTGCTTCAGCCATCATATGGTACATTATCCAAATAAAAGTGTGTGTTCAACAAGCTGACAGAAGTCGATCCATTTCTTTGTTGGACACTTTTAAATGGCAAAGTATAATTGTTGTCATTATAAATATTAATTTTTCCATGGCCACGGAGGAGAATCAGAGATTGTGGGTCACATTCAGGAAACAGTCACGAACTCGCTGTACTTCTTATTTATTTCAACAAATGACAAGCTAAATCAAATCCCTAGGAGCTTGGGGAAAGTTTTGTAGTATTTTCAAATGCTGGTTTAATGTGCTTAAAGGGGTCATATGATGCTGCTAAAAAGAACATTATTTGGTGTAATGAAATGCGTTTATGCGGTTTAAGGTTAAAAAAACACATTATTTTCCACATACTGTACATTATTGTTTCTCCTCTATTCCCCGCCTTTTTGAAACGCGTCGATTTTTACAAAGCTCATCGGTCTGAAAAAGCGAGGTGTGCTGTGATTGGCCAGCTATCCAGTGCGTTGTGATTTGGCCGAATACCTCAAGTGTGTGACAGAAATGGTATGCCCCTTATCATATTGTGATGGCGTGTCCCAGCTAAGTTAAGCCTTCTTTCTTTGCGTGAACATTTGGGAAGCGTTATGCAAATCTTCCCACATAGTGAGGTAGATATGTGGGGGCGTGTTCGAACGAGCCATTTTAGGGGAGTGTGGCTGACTCTTAACTTTTTATAAAGAATATCTCTTTGGATTTGAGACTTAAGTCTTTGCAAATTTACAGAGTGTCTTTATGCACCAAGAGCTTGTAACACTCCAAAGAGAAAGGAAAAAATGAAATCACATCATATGACCCCTTTAAGACAGTGATGCTAAAAGACATGCAGATGAGCCAGAAGATTAACGCGACATGTTTAAATGTAAAACGTTTTCCTCTCTTTAGAAAACCGTAATCTAGAAAGCGCTTCTGGATTAAGAGAGCAATTTCTAAAGTTCATATTTTGGGCTCATCTGTTTTTACACACACATTATGCTTTATTAGTAAGATGTGTGTACAGAATGTGGTCTTTAAATATCACTGTCTCGGTGCATTAAGCACGTTCTTTATATATGAGGGAAATACTTAACGTGTAAATAAACGGGTTGCGCTCACATTTTGATCTTATATGCATATCTGCACGTAGTATATGCTTTACAATTTTGTCTTTATCTTTGTCTTGGTACATTAAGCCACTTTAAGCATTTTAGAAAGTCCCCTGTTCAAGTTCTGCTAATTCAAAAGCCTAGTGAGAGTCATGCTCGCAAATAAGGTAATGTTAACTATTAAACCAACCAAATCAAAACTTTCAAAAACACACAG